GAGTGCAATTTCAATCTGTGAAAAAAAACCAAGAAACTGCAATTTGAGCCCAAAAGGTAGAGGGGAAAAGATCTGGATTTTTAGAGTCTATTGTGAAGCTTCTGCACCTTTCTGGGGCATCCTATGACTAAGCTGCAAAGCACTAAAAAGCCACAGGATGGCAGCAGAATATTAGAATTTTCCATCTTTCTTTACTAACATCTATTCAAGTGGCTGTTTGGATTTTTACAATCCAGATACTGCAGCCCTAGCAATGCAGTTGGCGGGTCAATGCTATGACTATGCCTAGAAATCCTCCCCTGATATGACCACTCTCAAGTTATTTCCACCAGCAGGATTTCAATTTCTTCCATTCTGAAATGGATGCCCAAAGGCTAAAATCACACTCATTCCTTCCAGCTGACCTACACTAAGCACATTGTCTGTCCAGCACTTAAATGACATGGCGTCACAGCCTTGCTGTGCCTGAGCCTTGCTTTTCCAAGCCCATTGAAATACCAGCTGAGATGGAAGGAATGCAATTTAAATAGGGATGGATACTTAAAGCTAAACTGAAGTGGCAAATAGAAGGAAAATTTTTTATCTGATGCACTGAGAGGAGCAATTAATACATTCTGGAACTATGCATGTCCATACTGGGGGGTACAGTGTATTTGTGTGTGAGAGACAAACAGAGAAAGATAATAAACATGGCTGATTGAATAAATGCATTATGTTAACCCATGATTTGCTTGAATCATGATTTGCTGAATAAGTCACAGTAGCTGGCCTAACAGGAGTATAAATTCTGAGTCCAGATGTTCCAGTGGGTGAGGTAGTTAAGTATAACTCTCTGGGTTTTTTTTTCTCGTTTTTTTTTCCAGAAGAGGAGTGACAGCTGGAGAACTGAAAACTGAAAATTCTTTTGCTCCAATGTTGACTTAGTTTAGAAATGAGACTTTTGCAAAGGGCCACGCTGGATGCTGAAAAAAGGGTGTGTTGTTGTTTTGGTGGTGATAGTGACATTGCTGTGCAATCATTCAGCGCTCACTACCCAACTGAAGAAGTTTGCAACTATCAATAGCATAAATATCAGTTGCTGCAAAATCAGAATCACGCTAACATTTCAGGCCAGCATAGTGAATGCACAAGAGTCCAGGAAGAGTTTATTTGTTTAATATTATATTAAACAAATATAGGGCTGGCACCAAAATGCCAGGTGAATTACCAGAATTAACCGAAGTAGATTTCCATAGGCAGGGTGAGACTGGGACAGTATAGAAATAGAGTGAGTTGTAAGCTTAGATGATATAAAAGTCACTTAGTTAAAAAATACTTTTAATAAATAATTTGTCCACCAAGGAAATCTTGATGCATAAAAGCAAGTAATAAGGAACAGACCTTCAGAAATAGACCATCCTATCCATTTTCCCACAGGAAAAGAAATAAAATCCAGAAGATGGAAGGAGGATAATTTCAATGGGAATGAACATTGCAGGACCCTGTATCAGAAAACGTTAGCAACCATAACCAAAGCTATATTTAAGGTGCTCAGTTGAATAAGATTGTCAGAGTTTAAGCAGCGTAACTAGTATTCTGAGATAAACCCAGGAGCAAAACACAGCACACAGGCCACAGAGCCTTTTAGATAAATAACACAGTGAAATGTTTACAAACTTATGTGTGGTTAAATACCTTTACAGCTACTGATACACGGAGAGCAATTGATATACACAGGACGAGAGAACAAGAAGTACAATGCTCGAGGAGAAGGCTTGAGGAGAAGGGGAAACACAGACTAATGGCTTCCCTTATATAGGCAGCTTCTGACCCAGTTTCTTAAAGGGGCAGTAATTCTGTTGCCTCATTCTATTGCATCAGCTTCCTGCTGGCTCTGCTTACAGCTTCACATCAGCTTACAGCTATTAACTCTTTACACTCTGACAAAGCTAGAAGCTATTGTCAAGCAGAAAAGGTACCCAAAGCATGGCACTTGCTGGAAAGAAAATAAGTAATGTGAAGTACAGGCTGTACACAAATTAAAAACAAGTCTCTTTGTTTTTAAAATAAGTCTGCTGCGTTTCTAGAGATAGAGGCAAACATATACAAATAACTGTGTAGTTCTTAATAAGGTAAGTGGAAAGATGATGTACATAAATAGTTTGATAAAAATGCTTGTTTACATATAATTTTTGTCTTAACACACTGGTCACAAATCAATAAAACTTCAAAGCATTGTTTCACTGTTTGGCTTTATTGGTTTAAATTGAGATTTAGGTAAAAAAAATTCTTGCAACACAGTAAATAGCTTCCCATTTGCACAATGGACAGGCTTTTGATTTTGTACAGCTAAGGCAGAGAACTGTCTATAGAACCCCTTCAAAATGGCTCTGAAATTGAGGCAGAATATTTATTTCAGGTCAATCTATTTCTAGACCCCCTTATAGCCAGTGAGGGTATAGGTTTATGGTAAACTACTAGAATCCTAAAGGTAATCCTATTTGCAAGGAGCTGCCTAGAGTTCACATTTAAGGATAAATAATTAAAGTATCTGTTTCCACACTTGTGAATATCCTGAAGAATATTTTGCATTATCTCGTTTTCACATTAATCTATCTGTATATTATAATCAAAATTCTTAGTCCACTTTATCATACATTACTTAAACTGTTTTTCCTGTTTCAAATTTCAACAAAAGTGTATACATTTTAGCAATTATACATTCATTATCAATACAATTGTATTTCACATTCTGTCTTACGTTGCTCCATGCCATAGGTCATTCTGTTCATTTTGAATCTTTCTGATAACTAAATGGGAAAACCAATGAAAACGATATTCTTCTGATGTTAATTGATTTGATTTTAAATTCTCCTTGATGGTTTTCCAATAAATCCCAGTACTTCAACCATTTGTCCTTGTCTGTTTATCTTCTATGAAAAGCTACTTGAGTTGAGATCCATAAACATGTTTTTGAGCATGACTCACGTTTATAACTACTCCATATTCTCAATATGGCACATGTAAAATTGATTTTAAAGTCTACATAACCTTATTGTACCATAAATATCCATGCCACTCACAATCTTCTAACTGTACAAAATCTCTTGCTTCTCAGCAACATTCATCCTTTCATCCAGACCAAACAACAAGCAGCAGAATACAATTTCAAATCCAGTAAATCCAGTTCTTCTCTTTCCTTTGAATCTCTTAACACTTTATATTTATCTCATGGTTTTTTCCTTGCCTTATAAATTGAGATATGTCTTTTTGCCATTATTTGAATGGAATATCAGTTGTCAAAATAGGTACCGTCTGAAACAAAAACATAATTCTTGGCAAAACATTCATTTTTACGACAAAGATTCCCACCCCAACACTAATAATTTTATTTCCTCCCATAGCCATGTGTTCTTCTTAATTTTATTTCATATATTAATATAATTATTTTGAAATAACACATAATTCATATTTATCATAGTAATACCCAGGCATTTTGCTTTTTTTCAAAGTTAAAATCACCATGCTCATTAATGGTATTTAGTCTTCTACTTTCATATTTTTTGTTATCAGCCTTGTCTTCTGATTATTATTAATCTTAAAACCAAAGTCCTTTAATTTTCCCATTAATGTCTCTACTCTCTCTAGTGGTTCTTTCAAAATTAACATCCACAAATGCTCTTATAAGTTTGTTTTTTAATCTTAAATCCCATAACTCTCTCATCTTGTCTTATGTCTCTATTTTGTACTTCAAGAACTAAAATGAGCAAACGTGGAGACAGTGGACATCCTTGTCTTGTCCCTTTTTAAATCATGCAAGGTTTTGTTAGTTCTCCATTAACAGTTATTTGTTTTTTTCTGAGAAATATAAGTCGAACTTACTCATTTAATAAATTTATATCCAAGGTTTATATAGTTCAGAACTATAAACAAAAAAAAATGATTCAAATTATCAAAGGCTTTCTCTACATCTGAAAACATCACTGAAGCAACCTTTTTCTTGTGATGAACTTGCCATAATCTTGTCTCCAGACAGGAGTGAGACAGACTGAATATGCTTTGTATTCCAGAGTTAACACAGTCCTCTTTCTTATTCCATTGCTATCCAAAGCAACTTCATTTTGTTTTGTTTTTTAAAAAAATAATCTATCAGACATTTTGAAGGGAGATCAGGTGACTATGATAACCTGAAACAGAGGAGAATATAGCACTGATGAGAAAATTTCAGGCCAATAAACTTTCATTCTGACTCAAGGATGGGAGATCATAAAGGCATTTTACTAAGGCTTTAAAGTTAATGCCCCAAAAAATGTTTTGGGGACATGCAAGTAACACTTGACTGCAGTACCTGTGTACAGATCCTTCCCCAGGATCCCAATGCAACATCTCTAGCACTTCAACAGCAATGAAGAGCAGCTCTAGTAAGATGGCTTCTCTTCCTTGTGAATATACATGACAATGGCCCAACAAATTATATCTCCTTGCAGAAAAGACAATTACAATTAATCTTGAGTTGCTTGGGAAACCTCTTTCATAAGACCCAAATGCAGAGCAACGGAGGCTTGGTCAAGTTATTTCAACATTTGAATAATACCATCTCCAGCAGAAGAACAAAATAACATTACTAAAACCATGCCTGTAGTTGAAACGAACTTTCCAACCATCTCACAAGTCATAACTCTCTTCTTTTCTGAAACTAGCTTCCTCTGAGCTTGTCCGTTTTGAAAATGCACCTAGTAGGAGGGTCCTGATTATGCTTACAGGCAGGGTAACTCATGACAATGATGGGGATGACAAAAGTTGGGATCCAAAATGGGAGCACAATGAGTCTGCAAATTTCCCCCCAACTCGATGGGGGCAAGTGATCGGGGGAAGCCTAGGCTACCTTGAAGAAGCATTCATTGCAACCCCACCAGCTAGAGAAAAGGGGGGCAACGGCTTTCCGTCAGCGCGGGGATCTGCCGGAGAACATTCAGCCAGTTTAAAATAAGAGCCTTTGAGGCGGTTAGAAGCCTCTGATCGGTTGGCCGGTAGGTGGCATCATTCCTCTACGGAGTCACTCCGGCAACTCCCCGGGCACTGAGGAGGAAGAAGCCTAGGAGGCAGCCACCTCGACGGCCTTCTGCAACCTGGCGCCCTCCGGAAAGTTGGACTACAGCCCGCACAATGCCCAGCTAGCACGGTCATTCGACCGGTTTGCTTGAAGAAGTTTGCTGCCCGAAGATTAGCGGAGGCGAGCACGACACCAGAACCTTGCTCCACGCCTACGTTTCCCTCGTCAAACCTGTGTGGGTGAAGGCGCCCACTTTCTTCGCGGTGAGCTTCTGAAGAGTGCGGCCGTCGTTCACTGGGGAGAGGGGAGCCTTCCTTCCCTTTGCCTTGTGGGGGACGAGCTTCTGTTCGTCCCGCAGAGCGATTCACAGTTGCCCTGAGGAAGGAGGCAGTTAAACCATCTTAGATCTGGACTGAGATAGCCGATTTGGGCACCTATTTCAGGTCTGACCTAAACTGTCCCTTCTGCCTCCAGGGTTGGACCGACGAACGGCCGGGGAACTTTTCAGTTGTCCTTCTCCTGAGGCGCTTCTTCTCTCTTACTGCCGCAGTCGTGGCTCGGTGAAAGGCGGCGACCGGGTCAGAGATGATCTGCCGTTCTAACACGCGAGTCAGTCCAATTCACTCAATCAGAATCGGCCGCTTCTCTCGCGGGTTAACAGCCCCTTCCTTTCCCACCGCTTTGGAGGGAGCTTAGAGATGGAAGTCTTTATTTTATGATCAGAGCGCTCAGGCATAATCTCCCCCAACCGTCGGAAGAGAGGAATGGAAACGGACTGAAAGGGGAATGTTGGACGGGTGTATATAAACTGTAACGAATCCAGCCTTCGGGCGTGTCACAGGATCTCCGTTTCTCTCGTTACCGAATAAAGTCGGCGGTTATTTACGTTTCTGGTCCTTTTCGGGTAACCTCATCCTAGGAACAGTGTTTACCACTCGGAATTAACAGGTCTGATACATCCAGTCCGTTGTGCATCCGATGGAAGTGATGCACCTGAGCCACGTAGCTTTAATAAATGTATTCTTTATCCATCTCTCCTCTCTCACCCCCAAAGCCGACTAAATACCTGATCTCTATGGAAATTTCCCCCATTTAGGCTTATTCTTCAGCCAAAAAAAAAAGGTACACGCAATTCCTTAGAAATTAAGTCTTATTTCTGGGGAAATATGCCCAGATGCAAACATTTCCCATGCAACTCAACTCGAACTGAAATATTCTGAAATAGAAGAAAACCGAAATAAAAATAAAATAGTACATACACATGATAGTACAATCTGGTATTACTTACTTACTAGTCATTACTTACTATAACTATCATTAAGTGTTGTCCCTTATGATTCTTGATGAACTTTTCTTTTATGTACACTGAGAGCATATGCACCAAGACAAATTCCTTGTGTGTCCAATCACACTTGGCCAATTTATTCTATTCTATTCTATTCTATTCTATTCTATTCTATTCTATTCTATTCTATTCTATTCTATTCTATTACCAGAAACTTCAGAAATTGTAAATAGGCAATAAGTCAATATAGTTTTCAGACTTCTAACAAATCATTCCAAATCGTTATTCATTTTTGGGTCATACCCGTGGTTCCTGGGAGGATAGGTTCCTTGTTCAAATATTTAATGATACAATGGAGAAACTGTGGAGGGAATTTGTGTGCCCACTTATTTTTAACAAGATTGCTTGCTTTTTGTTATTTAGTCCAATCTTTAAGGCATGGCTACATTAAAAAGAAGTTTACTAGAGCAATGTAGAAATACATTGAACTAAATGGAATTTCCTTTAGGCTTTAATTTCTTATACATTTATTTGGAAGTAAATCCCAAGAAAATGAATTTGTTTGACTTCCAAACAGTCACAGTAAAGAAGCATGATTAATGTACAAGTTGCCTTATTTTTAGGCATATTAATAGGTATAGTTAATTAATATAATTACTATATATCTATAAACTGGATTGATTTTTATCTACCAGTTGGACTAAATTGAGTTAAATAAAGTATTAAATATATAATTAAAATATACTATTAGAAAGAATGAGAATTTTCTTTCTAATATATTTAAGAACAAAGCATAAGAGTTGCATGTCCCTTAATTTCAAAATCCTTGGTTATACTTTAAGAAGCAGGGCAATTTCACTAGAAGGGATCTTATTAGTATAATTTCATCAAGGAAATTCTTTATTTAGAAAGAGAAAATGGGATTTATTTTTCTTTTTAAAATGGCAAAGAGATTTCTCTAAACAGTCACCCAATCTGAAATGCTACTTATTTTTATGTAATGACCTGTATTTTAAATGCTTTCATAGATGCATAAATACATATACAGGAGGAATGGGAAAGAGAAGTTTTAAAGCATGAAATAATTTCCAAACAAATTTGCTCTGGATGTGATTGAGTATACTTAATTACACACAGACACAGACTCTACAACCATACACCCATACACACACAAACACACACACTGTAATAACGAGCAAAAAGAAATAAATCTTTTGGCCTCCTTTGGCCTTTATTAGCTCTCTCTCCCATCCACCCACCCACATATAAGGGTACACACGCACAGAATATGCGCACACTTCCACACGTTTTTAATTCACCGCCTAAAATAAGCAGGGTGCTTTTTAGGTATGCCCACTCGATAAACTACCCATTCACTAAGAGAGCAAGAAGCAAACCAGCCTCTTCGCCCCCCAGTCCCAGCGAAAGAGCGTTATCACAATGCGGGTCAGGGAAGAGACAGTGGAGAACGGCAAGTAGGTCGCTCCGCCTGGCGGCGCGTTGGCGACAGCAACCCAGAAACTCCGGCCCTCTCCTGCCTTTCAGACATCACGGCGACCGCCTTCAGCTGCAAAAGCGCTAAACGGCCCAACGACCGCGGCTCTCTTGCCCGGGAATGATGAGCCTCTCTAAAGCCTTTACTTCTGAGGAGAAGCGTTAAGGATTGGAAAATGCATACAGCCCTTTCATTCTTTTTATCAACATTAATTTATGCCCAGTGGAGGCTTTGGGGGCGGAGAAAATAAAAGAGAAACAAGAGAGAGTTTAGAAGTTGGTCCGTCCCCATTGAAGCGCTCATTATCAAATCATGTTTAAAAAAAAAAAGAAAAATCCCACTGGCTTCAGGCATGTTATATTTTTCAACCGCTTCGCCTTTCAGTAAAGTTTCTTGTCTTAATCTCGGCGGAGCGGAAAAGGCTCCGCTGCCAACGACCGAGCCGGGCTCCACGGTCAGCCCGCCTGTCTCGAGGTGTCCTCGGGCGGTCGGAGCAGAGATACTCCTGGAAAAAGGTCCAGTCTGAAGAGAAGAGACCCGTCTACACCTCCTCGGCCGAAGCGCGCCCCGCGGAGCACAAGGAGACGAGGGAAAACTCGGAATTACAGTTCACTAAATCCCGGACAGGGTTTCCAACCACCAACCACCCCGCCTTCTGCGGACCTTGCAGGGCGAAACCCCGACTCGGGCTTTCATTTCTCGGCTTCCCAGCGCATAAAAATGTGGCTTGGCGAGCATTTCTTCGGCTCCCCCTTTTCCCACCCACTCCCAATTCTCCCCCCCCCTTCCGTTCCGTGCAGCGCTTGGAGAGTTTTCCTCAGATTTTGGGACCTGCCGTAGGGCAACCCTGGAGTTCGGATCTCTTATGTTTAATTCCAAAGCCTTTTCTCTCCGCCCCCTCCAGCTGAAGAAGAAACCAAATAACAACCGCCCGCCATTCCGAGGGAGGGGGAGGGGAAAGGCGAAGGAAAGTCTGAAGCGGGGAAGCAGCCCGGCCACAGTCCGGTTGGCGGCGGGGGGGGGGGAGTAGGGAGGGGGCAGAGGAAGAGGAGTTCCCGAGGGCGCCCCTCCCCCCCACCCCAAGATATCCAGCGGGGCTTTTTATGCCCGGAATGAGGCTCCGGTTTTGCCGCCTGGTCTCTTTTCCCTCACTCGGACCGCGCTCCCCTCACACACACACACACACCCCGTCACATCCCGCCGCTCTTTTTCAGGAATCTTTTCCCGGTTGTGGCGCTGACGTTGGGAGCCATGTGACTCTCCGCTCCGCTCCCCGCCCCGCCCGCCCGCGGGAGGAGAAAAGGCCATCCCCTTTGGGCACGGCCTCAGCCTGGCCAAGCTCCTCCGCGGGCTCCGCTGCTTTTGCCAGCCTCCCCGAGAAAGGGTCGCGGCGGCTTCCCCCCGCAGGGTTCATTCCTAACTGAGGGGGAACGGCGGAAAGGGAGCAAGCTCCCGGCTCGCCCACCCGCCGGAGAAGCCAGCCCATCGCTCCGGCAAGCCAACTCCGGCTGGCGGAGGAGCTGCCGGGCGGGCCCTTACCGGCGCGCTCGGCTGACCGGGGACCGACACCTCCCGCGCGGGCAGCTGCCCCGCCGCCTCCCCGCCCGCCCGCCCGCTGCGCCCATGCCCGGCTCCGCCAAGCGATGACTCTGAGCGCGGAGATGTCCGCCGCCGCCTCCGCCTTGGCCGAAGAGACAGACATCGACGTGGTCGGGGAGGGAGAGGACGAGGGGGGCGGCGACGAGGACGAGGACGACGAGGAGGAGCCCCCTCCCCGGCGGCCCTACGACGAGGAGGAGGAGGAGGACGAGGCCATCTCGCTGCCCAGGTCCCCGGGGGGGCGCGCGCCGGCAGGGTCCCCCGGCTCCGGCTCGCCCTCCTCGCCCTCCTCCTCGTCCTCGGGCTCCCCCTCGCAGCCGGGCCCCTTCAGGGCGGCGGGCGGCGGCAAGAGCAGCCTGGTGAAGCCGCCCTACTCCTACATCGCCCTCATCACCATGGCCATCCTGCAGAGCCCCAAGAAGCGGCTGACGCTGAGCGAGATCTGCGAGTTCATCAGTGGCCGCTTCCCTTACTACCGCGAGAAGTTTCCGGCCTGGCAGAACTCCATCCGCCACAACCTGTCGCTCAACGACTGCTTCGTCAAGATCCCCCGCGAGCCGGGCAACCCGGGCAAAGGCAACTACTGGACGCTGGACCCGGAGTCCGCCGACATGTTCGACAACGGCAGCTTCCTGCGGCGCAGGAAGCGCTTCAAGCGGCAGCCGCTGCCGACGTCCGACCTGCTCCTCCGCGGGCTCGAACCCTCCGCCGCGGCCGCCTTCCTTCACCCGCCGCCGCCCGGCGCCCAGCCGCCGCCCGGCCACCCCGGTCAGCCCCCCGCGTACGCCTACGGGCCTTACAGCTGCGGCTACGGCCTCCACCTCCAGCCCTACCCCGCGCCCTCGACGCTCTTCGCTTTCCCGCCCCAGGAGAGGCGGCCGTCGGCGTCGGGCCCTGTCCTACCACCTGCTCTGCCTTCCCTCCTGGGCCCGGCCGCGGCGGCGGGCCCGGACCTGGCCCGGACTACCAGTTTCAGCTACGCGGCCCAGTTGAGCCCGTCGCTGGCCGCTTCATTGCAGGCGGCCGCCACCAAGACCCCTTCAGCCTTGGCGCGCTCCCCGTTCTCCATTGAGAGCATCATCGGGGGCAGCGTGAGCCCCGGGCCGGGGAACCGCTGCGGGTCTCAGGCCGCGGGGCTGCCGGTCCTGGCGCGAACTTTGATGGCCTCGCCGTCGCCTTCGCCCTCGCTGACCTCTCCCGCCGTGGCCGCCAACGCCTCTCTGGGAACTCTGCCCCCCGCGCCGGCCTTGGGCAGCGTGGAAAGCTGCGCGGCCAGGATTTCCAACTGCTAGCTTGCCTGGGCCGCCAGCCTCGTCTTGCCTTCGGCTTTGGAGAGCAACGACGCGGAGAGACCTTTCCGGACAGATCGACTCGCTGGTTGGTTCCTCTGCGCCCTTTTTTTTTCCTGGCTTGTTCTCTGGCCTTCCGGTTTGCTTCTTCTTCCGTACCTCTATTTATGCAAAGCCATTTCTTCCATGCTGCAGAGACAGATGGCAGAGAAACGGTCCGAAGGTCTCTGCTTTGAAAACAGACGCCGCCCTGTCCCCCCTTTTCAAATATCTTTTTTTTTTAAAAAAAAGTTTTATTTGCTTTCCGTTGCAGAGCTCGCTGGGTTCCCCCAGGAAGGAAGGGGGGGGGGGGGGTTAACATGGGACTCCAGCGAAAATATTGAGGGAGTCGTCGTTTGCAGCTCATTTCCCTCCTTCTTCCCCCCCCCCCACGCCCCGGTACTTTTTATGCACGGAAAGATCAAAATGTTTACATAGAAGAGATTGTCATTGTTTTAACCTGGGGTATGTATGAATGGAAGGCGCTCTGTCTTTTCAATTTGTATTTTATGTATATTCTTTATCAGGATTATTGTTAGGACTGACAAGTTTTATTGTACCTTCCATTTTTTTTTAAAAAAAAAACACTTTTTTTTTTTTACATATTTCCGTAAATAAAGCAAATGATTTTTCAAGAAAATAAATCCCGCTATTGGCTTTTAGGGCTCCAGGTCTTTAGTGTTCTGCCCTGTGAAAATGTATTTGTAGTTCTAATTTTATCAGTATTTAGGCAGATGAATAAAAATAAAAATAACAAAAAATAATAGCAGCAAATGTTTTCGCAGAGGAGGTTTGGTTCTCAAGATTTAGCCATAACTTAATCCAGATGAAAGGTCACTAAATCTTATAATATTTCCATGAGCTTATGGTGATAGACCGAAATTTAACTACCTCATGCCTTGATCTACCCTGGTAGAAAACATTATAGCCTCAGCAGACATAGAATAATATTTTTGAGTTTTTCCTAAACAAGTAACTCAAAGGGTAAGGAATAACCAAAGAAAACAAGGAGCTCTTTTAGTGATGGATAAAGTCTGGTAGCTGTAAGCTATAATCTTCTCTAAGGACAATGTTGTGTATTTGAAGCAAATGAATGTAAATTCTTTCAAGGATTTCAGAGTATAATGAATTTGGCAAGCTGATCACATTTGTCTGTGTCCCCCACCAATCTATGTGATAGATTATAGATGAGGGGCACCCATGTATGGGTTTAGCATTTTAAAAACGCAAATAATGCAGATATATGCCTATCTTCCCGGCATTCATATTTGAATAGAAGCATGCATGCATAACCAAATAAGAAAAAAAAATCCAGTTAAACAGAGTTGCCTTAATGTGCAGACAAATATTCAACACTTACTATATTGCTTTTAAATATATAGAAGTATAGAAAATACTTTGAGCTGATCTGACATTTTGAAAGCCGATGAGCAGTTAAAACAGTAGATTAAAAAAAATCTTAGTGTTGCTAATTATAGGATAAATATAGTAACTTGTCTGATGTATTAATTTTGAAATAATTTTCAGTTCAGACAAAAGGAACCTAAAGAGTCTGCACATACCCAGATATATGCTACCTCTACAATATTTTGGTTTTTTAAAAAAAAAAAGTTAAATCTAACAGAAATTTTAAGGAATGCTGAAACCATATTCCTAGTTATGTCCGCCTTAAGGAAGAGTAATCATTATTAATTTGTAAGGCATATTTGAATACTGTTCCATTCCATAGTATACTGTAAAGGAGTAGCACATTCCTTTGAAAAAAAAACCTTATATAAATAAATGCTTCATGTGTTCTTTTCCAGAAAAAAAAATACATCTCACAGAATGGCAATGACTGTTTAATAGCCAGGTATGTGGGAACTCTGCTGAAAAATTTTGTATTATCTCACTAAAAACTTGATTGCACTGTAGAAAGCAGGTGCTTAGCAGACAAACAGGAAGTTAACACCTCTCTCCTGAAACTCACTCACTTTAGGCATAACTATTAAGGACTGTGGTGCCTCTGACAAAACTCACCTGTAGAACCCTGGATCTGGCTGCCTAGCTTGGATCTACTTTTCCTAAACTGTTACAATCAATCATTTTCTCAGTCCTTGAAACTCTTACCTAGATTTTTTGTTATGTGTTAATTTGTTGTTCTCAGTTAATGTTTCAATTTGAAGGCAATGCAATTTATTTGTCAAAAAGTCCTGGTGGATCATTTCAAAGTGCTGGCAACTCTTCTCTGCATTAATATTGTTTGGTTTTCCTAAGGATTCAGAATGCGGCAATCCGATTTCTTGTCTTGGCAGCAAATAATCAATGTCTCTATTTTTTTTTTAAAAAGCCAGATTCTCTCCTCAAAGATATAAAGTGATTTCTAAATGAATTTCCAAATTTCCTACAAACTCAGGAAACTATTTTGATCTTTCATTTAGTAACTAATCTCCAAATTGTCATTTGTTCAAAGTTCTCCCAAAAACGATGGTGAGTTGGGGAGGTTTTGCGAGATGTATGTTTGGAGAGGTGAGAAACCAAGGCTGAAGGAGAAGCAAGTATTGCTGCGTTTAGAGGGCTTTTCTCTCCTGGGTGCGCCTTCTTCCCGGACAGTTAAGGGGTCAGCGGTGCTCTCTCCCTTCTTGACCGTTTCGTATCAGCGGTGAGTGGCACAGCCCGCGGTTGAGGCTTGGTCTGAAGGTGAGCTGCTCCAACACCTCCGTATTTGTTATAGCCGGACTTCTCTGGGGGATGCTCCGCTTTGCGGCGGCGACCCCTGCCCTTCCCTTCGAGCCCCTGCCCTTGCTGGCCTGCTGGAGGCCGCGGCCCTGGGAAGAAAGGGACTCCCGCACAAAGGGCCCATAGCGAAGCGGGCAATTCAGTTCGGCGGATCAGATGCCGAGATTAACAAACCCGGATTGTCTCTGACGGGAGTCCGAAGCGGCTGGCTGAAGAGGGACCCTGCTCCCGTGCAGATGGAGCTCCAAGTCCCCTTCGGGGCTTTGAACGCGCAGCCACAGGAGCGCTGCTGCGTTGCGGAGATCAAGCCGAAACCCTGGGCTGAGAAACAAACGGGGCGAGGGAGGGGGGCTGTCTCCCCACCCTTCCTCCTCCTAATCTTTTTCTCCCCAAACTACAAAGTGTGGTTTTATTAATAAAAGACGCTCCCTCCCCCCTCCCACCCCCAGGTTCCAGGGAAGAATTAGGAGGGAATGACTTGGCGAAGGGAGAGCTAATGTTTCAGTTCGTGGCCCGCAGAAGGACCACACAAAAAGCCCCGTCTTCGCTGATGGGCTATTATGTCGCGTTGTAATCTAAGGACCGAGTTAACCAAATGTTATCTATTGGAAACGTAATGAAGCCCTGATGTACGCGGCCGGGTTTTTCCCCAATGCCACACACGCTGCCGCTTAACCAGCCATACCTCCACAGCCGCAGAGCTGCTATCTCGCCGATGCATCTCTCTTCGCTTTCTTTTTTTCCCCAAGGAGGGGAAGGGGCTGGCTCGGTGATTCGATTCTTTTCGGTTCGGCTGGGGTCTTTTTCTCCTTTCTCGTCCTCAAAGATTCCCCATTAGGTTTTTTTTTTTTTTTGTACCTTTAATCCTAGCTCATCCCTGACCCCAGGCATGGTGGTTTTTTCTTTTCTTTTCTTGCAAAAACCAAAGAAACCAAGGGGCACTTCCTTGTCAGTTAAATGCTTCAGAATCGTGATGGGCGCCCGGGTTTGCTGTGAGCAAAAATAGACTTCTCTGAAGGGGTAGGAAGGAGCCACAGGCCCTCCTGATCTGCGACGCCTGAAAAGCTGCCCGAAAAGCTTTTGGAATATATAGTTTCGTTTCGTTTCTTGCGATCCAACTCGCCACTTTGCGGGGTGTCAACTTCCCAACGCGAAAATGTTCTAATGGAACAAGATAGTTATTATTTATTCCAAGCGGAAATGATGGAGCAAATAGCCGTTTATCTTATTTGCATTCTCACTATTTCGGATATTAATGGGTTGATATGAATAAAGGGATTATAGTTTTCCCCTCCCTCTCCTCCATTCTAACTCCATAAATCTTTCTCTCGGAAAAAGGAACCTGGTTATTTTCCGCATAGCTTTTTTCTAGAGTTTGTAATGAATATGATGGCAAGTGGATGGTTCTTTTTTAATCTTAATCCTCCACCTGCCCATCTTCCTCCCTCCCTTGGTGGTTCATAAATCTACCGCCACTTTTGAGGGTCGGGTTTTCTGGCTCTGGAGCTGATTAAACATGGAAATCAACTTCGATATCTCGGTGCCTTGCAGATATGTGCCTTAAATCTTGCTTCCTCGCTGAAACCTTACCCCGACCAGTTTGAGTGAAGCGTGGGCGTCACATTGGGCCGGGAAGGATCCGATTCCATGGCCTTACTCCCGTATCCATCCCTGCCGGCGGATCGGTTAAAAGAGGACTGCTTCTCCGGAAAAGTAATAGGCCACGGACCTGCGCCTGTCGGTGTTTTTCAGCCTTTAATGCCTAGATCCCATCAGTCACAGTAAATGCTGCAAGTACCCGGGGGGGGGGGGGGGGGGTGGGAGGGACAGAGAGCGAAATAGAGCTCATGGCGACCACCTCTCTGGATTTATGTGCCCATAACTCAGTCTTGCTTCCCTTAAGTGAGTTTCCAGCAGTCTACGCCTACCTCCAGCTTTCCGAGGTGCACTTATGGTTTCTTCACTTTTATTGGACTCCACTTTTTTTTTTATGCTTTCAGCAGGTAAATCCAGGTTGTGCCAAATGCAGTTATGATTACACTATTATTACACTACATGCATTTTCTAGCCTCAGATTAAACTCCAGTTATCACTTTAATACAGACTCAGAGCTAATCTCTTTCTCTCTTTTTGTTGTTGATGTACAGTAAATTAATCATCGCCCTAGCGTGGTCAGGCTACATTTTATACCAGTTTATTTGGAAGTAAGTTCTGTTTCATTGAAATTGCAATTAACTAGATAGAAAGGTGCTCTGGAGAAGCATTTTGGAAGTTAGGGTTCTTTCGACTCGAGTGATTATAGCGTCACCCAGTCATAGCGTGGGGTCATAAAGCTGGTCAGTGACTGGGAAATGGGCTCAGCGACGGCTGGGTGGTGCTACAAAATACTCGGGTAAAAATGAGGGAGTGGGCCTCTTCCCCAGTTTAAACCAGCTGATTCCGCAGCAGGACCAGATCGTCGGCTGCGTTACCTTTGGGTTGACCTGCATCCCCCTTGCATGTGAGTTCCCAGCCCTGAGGGAGACACCCAGACAAAGCCCCCTCTAGTACTCCACCATGGACATTTGCATAAGCAACTCCACAAGCAAGTCCTTCAGGAAGAAATAGGATTCGCTGCAGGCCTCGCTGCCCTTTTGTGCCCTCCAAACCTACTGCTTACTGAGGCTGCCTCCTTCTGGCCTCGGTCTTCTGTTCTGTTCCGTTCCGTTCCGTTCCGCGGAGGCCAGCTGCTTCTAGCCCACGGGAAA